ACACACACACACACACACACACACACACACACACACATGCACGCACTCATATGCATCCACACTCATATGTATGCATCCACACACACACACACACACTCGCATACATGCATTAACTCACAGCCCAGTTCTGCTGCAGCAGCATCTGAGACCCAGAGCCCATGCAGGAGATGACACGTGTAGCCTCCCCATACAGCAGGGCCTTTATTGAGGTGTCGACCTACTGGGCGGTGGCTGTGGTATCACAGGCCAAACCAGTCGGGGATGTCAGCACGCCGGGGGTCACTTCTCGGCCTCTGCGGCCCGCTCTCCAGGAGCTGGCTCTGCGTCTTCTCCAGGGAGCCCTCGGGGCTGGGGTCCTTCTCAGGAAACAGGTCTGGGAACGTGAAAGTCTGTCCATGGGCCTGAGGGAGAATGCAGGCTCCATATAACCGTGGGATCCCAGGTGGCTTGGGACCCCAGAGAGGCCAGCCGCCCTCCAGGTCAGCCCCACCCTGGACCCTCGGGCAGTGTCCCTGCCCGGAGAATAAACACCTGGGCATGGCCTCCAGAACTGCCCCTTCTCCAACACTCCCCATGTGTCCTGGAGTCTGAGCCCATCCTGGGCTCGCATGGCAGCACAGCCAGGTGCCTGCTCACCAGGCAGGTGACCTTAGTCAGTAAACCTGGGCCAGTCCACCCCCCGCAGAGAGCATGGTCTTGAGACACATGAGTTGTGGCAGCCACTGCATGCAGTCCAGAGCTGCCACAGGGTCCACCCTCCACCGGGATGGCACTGTGGCCACCTGTACGCAGTGCTCACTGCCTACACGGGCGAGTTACATTTCACAGAGCGAGGTGCTTCTGGTGGTTTTCTGAGCTAGGGGACCCCAAGATGACATTTTAAAATGAAAATAAGCCAGGCTCAGTGGCTCAGCCTGTAATCCTGCGCCTTGGGAGGCTGAGGTGAGTGGATTGCCTGAGCCCGCGGGTTCAAGACCCGCCTGGGCAACTTGGCGAGACCTCATCTCTACAATAAATCAAAAAATTAGCCGGGCGTGGTAGTGCACACCTGTAGTTCCAG